ATATAATGACCTTTTCCTGTGATAATTTTTCTATCCCTAATGTCTCTTTTGTCAGAAGTAAATACTGGTTTTTGATTTGTGTTAGCATGATATATTTTTCTACACCTCTTTACTTTTAGTCTATCAGTGTCTCTGTGTATAAAGCAGGTCTCTTGTAGACAAGATATAATTAGGTCTTTAAAAAATTCATTCTGACAGTCTGTCTTTTAATGGGTGATTTTAAACCATTGACTTAAAAATTTTTATTGATGGAGTGGGATTAATATTTACCACATTCATTACTGTTCTGTATTTGTTGCCCATTTGTTTCTTTTTTGTCTTTTTCTGCCTTTTCTGGTTTTGATTAAGCATTTATATGATTCCATTTGTTTCTCTTAGCATATCAATTATAATTTATTTTTACTCTAGGTGGTTGCCCAATAGTTTTCTGTAGACTTTTATAACTAATACAAGTCTACTTTCAAATACTGCTGTACCATTTCATGGGTAATACAGTCACTTTTAAGGCTTCCCTTGTTCAATTGGTAAAGAATCTGCCTGCAGTGCAGCAGACCTGGGTTCAATTCCTGGGTCAGGAAGATCCCCTGGAGAAGGAAATGGCAACCCACTTCAGTATTCTTACCTGGGGAATCCCATGGAGAGAGGAGCCTGGCAGACTACTGTCCATGGGGTCACAAGAGTCAGACATGACTTAATGACTAAACCACCACCACAGTCACTTTACAATAGAATTGCAAAGTTTGTCCTCTCTTCCCTTATAAAAATGTAGTAATTTGTTTTACTCATCCATAAATTTTAGTCAGTTAGTACATTGTTCACATTATTATTTTGAACAAGCTACTGTCAAATCAATTAAAAATAAGAAAAATATATTTATATTACCTTTTATTCTTTTTTATGTGCTTCGTACATTTGATTTATTTTTAAAACTTATTTTAGTTATTATTATTCCTGGCTGTGCTGGGTCCTCTTGGCTGTGCGCAGGCCTCCCCTCGTTGCAGAATTCAGAGTAGGGGTGCCTTTCACTGTGGCGGTTCCTCACGCTGCAGGGCGCAGGCCGTCAGTGCGTGGGCTTCTGCAGCTGTGGCCTGCAGCCTCAGGGGTTGTGCTGTGTGGGCTTGCCTGCTCCAAGGCGTGGGAAGTCTTCTCAGAGCAGAGACTGAGCCCATGCTCCCTGTGTTGGAAGCATGGAGTCTTAGCCATGTACCTCCAGGGAAGGTCTGAGTTTTAGGTACATATTATTTTTCTTCTTTATGAAGAACTTCTTTTCATGTTTCTTGCAAGGCTGGGTTTCTGGTGACAATTTTTGTTTTTCTGAGAAAGTCTTTGTTTTTAACTTCAGTTTTAAAGAATAATTTCATGGAATTCAGTATTTTCGTTTGGTGGCCCTTTTCTCCCCCCTTTTAATACTGTGTTTAAAATCATTCACACTATTCTCTTCTTGTTTGCGTGGTTTCCGAAGAGAAGTCTGATTTAATTCTTTTATTTATTTATTTTTTCATTTTCTTATTGTGGTACAATACATATAACATAAAATTAATCTTAACCTTTTCAAGTATACAGTTAAGTTGTACTAAATTCATTCATGCCTATTTGTTTTCATTATTTGTCTCCAAAACTCTTTCAGCTTGGAAAGCTGATATTCTATTTCTGTTACACAATAAGCTGCTAATATCACTGCATCCCCCAGCATCTACCATTGTACTATCTTATCTATGTGATTTTAACTAAATTCTCATGTAAGTGAAATCGTACAGTAGTTGTCTTTTTGTTCCTGCCTTATTACACTTAGCAACAGGTCCTCAGATTTCATCCATGTTGTAACATGTGGCAGGATTTCCTTCCTCTTTGAGATCTAATAATATTTCGTTCTGTATATATACATTTTGCTTCTGCATGGATGCACCGATGGCCACTTGGGTTGTTTTCACAGTTCACTGTTGTAGATAATGCTGCTTATGGGTCAATACGTATCTCTTTGAGACCCCACATTCAGTTCTTTTTTTTGGATATATACTGAATGGTGTATTTCCTAGGTCGTAATAATAATTGTTTTCTTGAGGAACTGCTGCACTGTTTTCTGCAGTAGCTGCAACATTTTACATTCCCACTAACAGTGAACAAGTGTTCCGGTTCACCACGTCTTCACCAGCTTGTTATTTTCTTTTGTTTTCATAGTAATCATCCTAATGGGTATGTGATAATGTCTCATTATAGTTTTGATTTGCATATCCCTAGTAATTGGTTTTGTTAAACATCTTTTTCTGAGCTTATGGGCCATTTGTACATCTTATTTGGGGAAATGGCTATTCACGTTCATTGTCCATTTTTTAAATCTGATTGTTTGGTTTTTTGATTTTGAGTTTTAGGAATTCTCCAAATATTCTTTATCTTTATCCCATAGGAGATATGCAATTTGCAAATATTTTCTCACATTCTGTAGGTTGCCTTTTGACAAACTGTGTTTTGATGCACATGATACTTTTTTCAAATTTTTGTCTGTTTTTTCTTTTATTGCTTGTACCCTTGATAACATATCAAAGAAACCATTGCCAAGTCCAGTTAAGCTTTTTGCCATAAGTTTTCTTCTAAGAACTTCATAGTTTTAGCTCTTATATTTAGACCTTTAATCCATTTTGAGTTAGTTTGTGTATAGGCTATTAGGTAAGGATCCAAAATCATTCTTTTGCAAGTGGATATCCAGTTTTCCTAGCACTATTTTTTAAAAGACTGTCCTTTCCCCACTGAATAGTCTTGACACCTTCTCAGAAATCACTTAACCATTATGTAAGAGCTTATTTCTGTGTTGTCTATTCCATTAGTATATATTTCTGTCTTTATGCCAATAACACACTGTTTTGGTTACTGCAGCTTTGTAGTAAACTATGAAAATCAGGAATTGTGATTTCTAGCTTTAGTCTTCTTCAGGAGTTTTGACTATATGAAGTCCCCTGTGATTCCACATGAATTTTAAATTGGATTTTTCTGTTTCTACAAAAAATGTAGTTGGGATTTTGATATTGATTGTATTGAGTCTATAGATTTTGCCTGGTATTGACATTTTAGCAATGTTATATTTACAATCTGTGAACATCAGATACATTTGTATTTACTTATATCTTCTTTCACTTTTAACAATGCCTTGCAGTTTTCATGATATAAATCTTTCATCTCCTTGGTTTAGTTAATTCCTAAGTATTTTATTTTATTCTTTTTGATGCTATTATAAATATAATAGTGATTCCATTTGTAATAGCACCAAATAGGTATTCACTGTAGTGTATAGAAATGCAACTGATTTGCATGTTGACTTTGTATTGTGCAACTTTGCTGCATTTATTTATTCTTACAGTTTTATTTTTGGAAACTTTAAATGTCTACATAGGAGATCATATCATCTGTGAATAGAAATAATTTTCCTACTTCTTATTTCAATTTCTTGCTATAATACACTGGCTAGAACGTCCATTACTGTCTTGAGATATAATGGCAGATGTGTACCTTCTTGCTTGTTCCTCATTGTAGAGGTGAAGTTTTTAGTCTTTTGCTTATCAATGTGATGTTTTCTGTGGATTTTTATATATGGTTTTATTATGCTCCATTATTGTCCTCCTATTCATGTCTTTTTTAGCCTTTTTATTCATGAAATTATATTGATCTTTGTAAAATGCCTTTCCTGCATCAAATGTGATGTTCCTGTGGGTTTTTCCCCTTCACTCTTCATGTGGTATATAACAACGATTAATTTTTTACGTTGACCTGTTCTTGAATTCCGGCAATAAATCCAACTTACTAATGGTATATAATCCTGTTAATAAGCACCTGAATTCAATTTGTTAGTCTTTTGTTGTGGAGTTTTGCATCAGTGTTAATTATGATTATGATCTGTAGTTTTTTGTTCTTACAGTGTCTTTGTCTGGCTTTGTGTTCAGGTAATGCTGGCCTTTAAAGATGAGTTTAGAAGTGTTATCTCCTCTTCAACTTTTTAGAAATGTTTGAGAGGACTGGTATCAATTCTTCTTTTGACTGTTGTTAGAATCCACCACTACAGTCATCCAGTGTTGGGTTATTACTGTGCTATTAATAACCTCTATTTCCATAGTTATCTTCTTTCTGACTCTTCTGTCCACTATTGTGAGATATTGAGGTCTCCAAATATTACTGTAGACATGTGCACTTCTCTTTTGAATTCTGTTAATTTTTACTTAAAAAATGTTCATGATCTGATATATATGTAAGTGTTTATAATTGTTACATATTCTTGCTGTGTTAAATCTTTTATAAATATATAGTATCTTTATTTGTTGCTTAAACCCTTTCTTGATTTTAAGTCTATTCTATCTCTCATGAGTATAGCAACTCTTTAAGTGAGACATTATCTAATTGGATGATGTTTTTTATTCGTTCCTAAGTCTTTATCATTTGATTTGAGAATTTAACCCATTTACTTTTAAATTGATTATTGATAATGCAGGATTTACCTATGCCGTTTTGATACTTTGTTTTTGCTTTTGTTTTTCATTTCCTTCATTATGGTCTTTTTTGTCTAGTTGACTTTTTTGTAGTTAAATGTGAAATCTTTCTCATTTCTTTTTGTGTATATTCTGTAGTAATTTTTGTTTGTTCTGTGGAAATTACATTTAACATTCCTAATTTTATAACACTCTAGTATGAATTACACAAACCTAGCTTCTATACTATATGTGAAAAATGTCCTTTAAGAGCTGTAGTCCCACTCTTTTCAGTTGCTGATGACATAGAATTAGTATTTTATAAATGTGTGCCCCAAAATATAAATTAATAATTATTTTAAGTGAATTAGTCTCAAATTATATAAAACAAAACGTGGAGTTACAAACCAAAGTTACAATAATACTAGCTTTTAGACTTTTTTTTGTTAGGTATATTAGACTCTTAAATTACATATATAAAATTGCTGTATAAATACAATCCAGTCTGAATCCAGTAATGGTCACTTTTACCCTTGTTCATGAGCTTACCTTTGTTGAGGTCTTTGTCTCTCTTCACACAGCTTCATGTTACTGCTTAGTGCTTTTTCATTTCACTGTAGGACTTTCCTGAGCAGTTCTTGCTGGCAAGTCTAGCAGTCACAAACTCCCTCAGCTCGTCGTATTTAAGGAAGTTTTAATTTCTCTCTCACTCTTGAAGGGCAGTTTTGTAGGCTATAGAATTCTTTCCTTGCTTTTTCTTTTCTTGTATTTATCACCCTACAACACAGAATGTTTCTCTAATGATTATTGTTTATTGTTTGTATGTATCATTCTTTATTCTAATTTTATGCATTAGAATGTAATTTCCAAAATTCAGGGAGTTTGTAGATTTTGATCACTTATATATTTGAGCCTCCTAGAATAACTCTTAATAAGTAACAGTCTCTTGATAACTACTTACTGAATAGACACATGAGTGCACTCATGTATGAACATGTCCATCATTTTAGTTACCATGGCTGCTACTGTAGTTAAGCCTCTTTCATTTTCCAGTATTATAATGATATATCTCTCTGTAGAGATTAAGAATTGAGTCAGTCAGGTGATATACACAATATTATATGGGTAGAATTAAGTAAACTATTGAATGGATAAATACATTTGTACATATATATATCCACATATATGGTACAAAAGGTAAAATAAATACATACATACATTATATGGTACAAAAGATAAAATAATTTCATTGTCAAAAATTGTATGAAATGAGTTTCTAAATACTATCAAATTAGTTGATTAATTCTTAAGTTTATTGCAATGCTGAGGTTTTGTTACTTACATAAAACACATTATTACCTTAGATTTTTACTTAATAAGAGTGATTTAACATTTGGAAAATTGCTTTAGTTTTTACTGGAATAGAAATATTAGACACATGGCCTGTTTTATATTTCAAAAACCAATTTAAATATTGTGATATAGTACTTTAGAACCATGATAAAATATAATTTATTTTCTCAGTTTCATCTCTAGACACTGAAAAAGGACCCAAGCCATGTGCAGACCATAGTTGTGAATCTTCCAAAAGACTATCTAAGGTATGTTATGTGAGGTGAGAAAAAAGAAAACATGCCCAGTATGTAAGTAAGCATCCTAGCTATTTATAAAACACATCACCACTACCCTCAAAACACATTCTTAGGTAATTCAACAATAAAAATAAAACTTCATAAGTTCAGTTCAGTCACTCAGTCATGTCCAACTCTTTGTGACCCCATGAACTTGCAGCACGCCAGGCCTCCCTGTCCATCTGCAACTCCCAGAGTCCACCCAAACCCATGTCCATTGAGTTGGTGATGCCACCCAACCATCTCATCCTCTGTCGTCCCCTTCTCCTCCTGCCCACAATCCCTCCCAGCATCAGGGTCTTTTCCAATGAGAGCTCTTCGCATCAGGTGGCCAAAGTACTGGAGTTTCAGCTTCAACATCAGTCCTTCCAATGAACACCCAGGACTGATCTCTTTAGGATGGACTGGGTTAGTGTCCTTGCTGTCCAAGGGATTCTCAAGAGTCTTCTCCAACATCACAGTTCAAAAGCATCAATTCTTTGGCACTCAGCTTTCTTTATAGTCCAACTCTCACATCCATACATGACCCCTGAAAAACCATAGCCTTGACTTGACGGAGCTTTGTTGGCAAAGTAATGTCTCTGCTTTTTAATATGCTGTCTAGGTTGTTCATAACTTTCCTTTCAAGGAGCAAGCGTCTTTTAATTTCATGGCTGCAATCACCATCTGCAGTGATTTTGGAGCCCAGAAAAATAAAGTCTGACACTGTTTCCACTGTTTCCTCATTTATTTTTCATGAAGTGATGGGACCAGATGCCATGAACTTAGTTTTCTAAATGTTGAGCTTTAAGCCAACTTTTTCACTCTCCTC